TGGTTGTTTTCTCATTTGCTGTTGAGGAATTTTTCGGACTTAAGTGATTATGAATATTTTTGTTGTTATAACAGTCGCCATGGTAATGCTGTTAAGGGAGACCTACAGTGTGCATTGTAACCTCGATATAGGATCATGTTTGGCATTGGGTACATCAACAAATATAAGTAATGATTTGTATTCTTCGGAATTTACTCTGATTTATTGGGATTTTTAAGAGAAATTTATTTTTAACGTACTAATTTATATATTTCCGTCCTCCTTGACGGGCAGCTTGTGATTTTGGATATGTAATTTACGCATATACAGGGCTTACGTAATGTCAATTTTACAATAATAACTTTTTGTGCTGAATAGTAAAATCTTCCACGTCTGTCACCAAATTAAAAAAGCTTCATAGGTACTGAGATAGTTCATGAAGACAGAGTCGTACTCCGAATGTTAAGCCGTGACATGTTCTGTATTCAGCTCACACACGCGTCATTACGGCCTGCAAACAGAATTCAGTGGGGCCTCGTAATTGAAATAATAGGACAAGTGTGCTAATTGTTCCATTACACCCTCCAACTCCGAACATTAATAATGACGAATGTGTTTTCTTTATCACATCTCCCGCCAAGCAGCTGCTATTACGCTGTCAATTACTTCTTTCAGCCGACACAAGAGCGCACCTCAACTCGTATTGTTGCGTGTAGCGCATTGTCTCTCGCTAATCAGGTCACGTGACATGCCACGGTTCCTTCCGTGCTTTTCAGATGACCCCAGATATCACAACTAATTGGGATCAAATCTCCCTTGCAATGGGACCCTTAGTCTTTAAGTGATTGTTATACCGAAACGTCTACTCCATAAAGAGATGAGTCTGACATTCACAAGAAATTACGTGAGAAACGCCAACTTTTTGTCCTTTATTCCCAGTTATGTTCGAATTGGGTGATCGATTTTCATCAAACTTGGTACAAATGTAATGTCTAATCTGACATCAACTGCGCTGCCGTGATAATTTCGTGAGAAAGGACCAATGGTAGTAATTTAATGAACAAATATTAAATGTTGTTGTGACGGATAGCATAAATCATAAAGATTTATGTAAATTACATAATTCAATTCAATTAATTTATTTACGTGTTTGTTAACAGCAAGAAGCCAATAATAATAATAATAATAATAATAATAATAAATTGGATAAATCTGGCATCAGCCCTCGTCCAGTTCCCACCCTTACGACGAAATTACCTAAAACCCACTTTAATATTATCTTCCCATCTCGTTCCGTGTTTTAAGTGGCCCCTTTACAAGCTGTTTCCCCATCAGATAACATGCATTTCTTGTTTCCTAGCTCTGTGGCCAGAACTCTCCCATTATATAGGAAAGAGTCATATAAATCCCTGTGAAAGCTACATTTATTTCAAACTAAAAAGAATTATCCATCAAAAGTCACCAGAAGGTTCAAAACTTGTCTTGAGTGGCTCTTTTTTATTGTAAAATGTAAAAAAATGAGCATATGGGAATTAAAACCATTTCGTATCTCTGCGTAATTACGTAAACTAAGAACCATCTGTTTTCCTGCTTTGTATAGAAACACATGCACACAGAAGGCCATGGATGAGTGAACAGTCTTTTATTTAGGGGCATTTTTCCACATGGCATCACGTAAAAATTAAATTAATTTATACTCTGTAACAATAAAATATAAAAACGTACCACTTTAATTAAATAACATATTTCGTGTACAGCATTCTCGAATATGATCTTATATTGAGGTTACAATAAATATGTTGATTCCTGGCGTACGCACATCGTAGGCCTCCCTTAACAGCATTACCATGGCAACGATTATTTTATCTTATCAAAGCCCAAAATCCGTAGACAGCAAAAAATCTCCATTCATACAGACGAAACCTCTTAGCTCTTCGTTACACATTAATTCTAGGCCTTATGGGAAGTGCACGGGTCCACCAGAGGTTCTGGCCTTGCGTCAGAACATGTCGAGTCCGGAACTCAGGCTCACGAAATGGCCGTGTGTGTGGGCTCGTTACCCAGCTGTCTGTTCTGTTCCAGTCGCGTGCTGTACGACGTCTTCTGCCAAACTGTTTTCGAGGCTACGTCATTCGACAGAAACCCAGCAGAACGGACGATTTCCTCCTTCAGTAAATGTCTGTTCTGTCGGAACAAGACCCCGTTTTCTTTCTGTTTAGGCCTAAGCCGCCCCCCGCCCACCAAGCGAGTACAGTCACTGCACGAATGCCTCGAAAATAGAACCTGGCAAGGTCTGACGCAAGGAAAATTTATTGACTAGCTAAGCTACGATACGGGTTTCAGCAAAGGTCTTACTGATCTGGCGTGTGTTATCTCAGTGCTAGATATATAATTCTTTAGAGACCAGTGGTAACTATACGTACCGCCTGATGGACAAAGAACAATTCTTTAAATTTATATTTATGGGTTGTGTATGATTCTTTGTGTAAACTGCGATTATCTCCTTAAACAGCGTTAACCAGTTGATCTTTGTAATGGTGAAGTGTAGTGTTTTCTTCGCGGTACGGACTGAATTCTTTAATATTTAGTCGAACCTCGGCTGTGTATAGGACTCGAAGTAAATCAGAGCTTAAACAGCGTTAACCAGCTGATCCTCGTAATAGTGAAGTATGTTGTTTACGTTGCGGTACGGACTGAATTCTAAAATAATATTTAGACGAGTTTTGGATTCGAAGGTATTGAACAAAAATGCTATTAGGCACCAGCAAAGGAATTCGGTGTTGAAAGAAACGTGAAAAGTTGAAAGTAAGTTGCTGGTGTCTTGTCACAAGATCGCGGGATAAAATAATACATGGTCACGGGCGGCAGACATCTTCCAGAATCTGACAAGTATTTTGGAATAGCCGTACTCTCTCTCGAAGGAGGACGCTGAAATGAACCTTCGTGTTCCATTTACTTGGAGCCGGATTGTACACTTGTTTCAGCACATGAACATCGGAACATCCGACAGTTTACAGTCGACCTGGACCCTCCGTTATACCGTGAAATTGATGACCCTGTAAATGTCAGAGCAGTGGAACGCTGCTTGAAGGCAGAAGTGGTCACTTCCAGGTACTGCTCTTACAGTGAGCTTTCTGAACCAAAACACCCCTGAAGATGGCTGTATACGTTTGCCGACGTTTCAGAGGTCCTCGCTGCCTCATCGCCCTAATGATGGAGGCAGCAGGGACCCCTGAAACGTCGGCAAACTCCTACCATACTACACGGCGCAATAAACCAGATATATTCATGAAATGTTTGTAGAATTTCGAAATAGGCTTATATTTTCTGAGGTCCGACAATTATTTTGCATAAAATATAATCTAAAGATGGCGGCCGCGTAATATCTGTATGTAGCGTTATGTTTGTTGAGCTGTGCGCGTGAGATTTTGTACGGAGATCACAAAAACTCAAAATTTTTGTGCGAAATTTTTAGTTTAATTCCAACAGTTAACAAACATGGCGACGATGCGAAGCAGATAAATGGATATATTACTTATAGTCGGACAGGAGATGTTGACAAATAGGCGAAGCCGCAGAACGCATCTGCGTAGTTACACGTGTGTTCATGGCCATTAATCCTAAGGGCCTGTAAACTCTCACGTTCCATACACGCGCTTAAGTTGAGGGCTATTAACCCTGAGATGGACGGTCTCAGTCTGTTTGCTGTGTCCTTAAGGACACTGGAACATCACGTGCGTCGAATGTACGCGTTTATAACATTTCGAACAATCACCGCGAGGGAAAGTTACAAAATCTCCTGGCGCGATTAGCCGGGTAAATTCGGATAAAAGAACTTATTTTCATAAATAGATATCCTCCAGATAGATAGTCTTAGAAAGTTAGGACTTCCGAATTAACGCCACAGATTACCGAGATTATTTTAAATAAACGTAAACAGTATTTATTTTACTCGTATCAGTGCTGTAAGCCCGAGGACAGGCCAATTTCTTTCAAATTTAAATATGTTCCGTAATTGCAAGACACTTTAACCCTCGGTGGTAGCTATGTATACCACCTTTCTTGTTAGAAATGAACTCTGCCTCCTGCCCGCAATGTGTGAAAAATACTTAAAGAGGTTTCGTATGATTCTCATAATAAACAGCGACGATTATATCCGTGAATAGTATTAATCAATTGATCGTTGACATAGAGACGGTTCTCCTTGAGCAGCGAACTTAATTCTTTTTAAAGCGAGCTTCGTGCTGGAAGGTATAAAGACCGGATGAGGTGTTAAATCCAATACAGAAATGAAGGTCGCGTGATACAGGTGTCCCCACACTTGTATCGTGTGTGATGGCTCTGTTAAACAAGTGTGAAGATGGCTAGCTGATAAGTCTCTCATTAAAATGGAATCCATGCATTAACCATTTAAACGATAAGTAACACGCAACGTTCGTGTCACGTGAAAATCACCGAGCCAAGAACGTGACGGATTAGGCCTCTTTGCTGACTTTCGGTAAACAGGTTCAGCACGCAAAAAGATCTTCGGCCTTACGCAGTCTTCCCGACAATCACTTCAGCGAAAAGAAAAATAATTGCCTTTGTCGAAAATTTAGACATGCGACGGCCGGGAACTGTCTCCTATTTGACCTTTAAAAACCCACATCAGAGTCCATTTTGCCCACAGCGTATTTCTTACGGGTTTAATATTATTCTCTCTGAACAAACAGCGGTCATTTCCGTAAACAGCGTTAAGTAGTTGATCTTTGTAATGGTGAAGTCATGTGTTTTCTTCGCGGTACGGACTCAGTCCTTAATATTATTTAGACGAGCTTCGGGTTACTAGTGATATTTACGTACAGGACTCGATTAAATCAGAGCTTAAACACCGTTAACGAGTTAGTCTTTGTAATGGTGAAGTGTTGTTTTCTTTGAGGTACGAAGTTAATTTTTAAGTTCCCGTTTGCAGGGGAGGGTGAGCGAGCCTCGGCGGACAGTCCGCAGACAAACGCCGGTCAACCGGCGCTGATGCAACTTACCTTGCCGTGTTCCTTGTCGAAATCACACTCGCGCCCGTGATCGGCCGTGCTGTATCCGTTGGTGCTGGGGTTAAACACTAGCTGGATGTTCGTTCCTGTCGCCACAAAAGCCTGCAAAGCAACCACTGCACTAAGGAACGTCTCCCAGGCAAACGAAATGTTTATTCTAGATTGACTCGTCTTGTAGGTGGTTAACGACGTTCAAGAGGGACGTATGTCTTCTATCTTCACTTCGCTCTGAAGACGGAAGTAATATATCACTCTGAAACGTTGGTAACAACCGAAGACTACACGGCGTCGCGAACAAGACGTTAACTGACATTTTCATCGCCTTGAGAACGTCAGATGTAAGTTAGGTCACTCTTCCAGTTTACGGTAGGCAAAAACATCGCAAAGTTTTCGCCGGCCATCATGTTTCTTTTGGTTTTCTTGTGTTCTCGTGTAACACATGTTTCGCGAGCCGAACAGAAGTGTTCCGACACTTAAATCGAGAATTGGCGCGGTCTGTTCCCACTTCGCAGTTCATTTGTTATTGACATTTGCTGAGATGTGCAGGTCATAATTAATATGACATATTTTCGTGTATTGACATTGTATCTGGTTCTAATGATGACATAAATGTATTTGTCAGATCTACGGTGAGCGCGAAATGAAAAAGAGTTTGGGAACCATTGTTCGGAATATGCCATCTCGCAGCCCGAAATACCAAGAATAGAATTGTACTTCTCTGAATATCTTTTGGCGATGGTCTTATGCCATTGATAGCGTGTTTGTTTGTTTGTTTGTTAGGGACTTTATCCGTCGTATGTTTTTAAGAAAATCTTTAAACCTTAAGAAAGTCAGATACTTCGATCGTCTTCAGGTAAAAACGGGCGAGACACCTATTTCGGTGCGGCGGATGCAACAGATAGTTGTCCCTCCACCTTCTTACCTGAAAACGAAGGAAGGTCCATCTTTAAAAACTTTATAAAGACTTTTTAAGACGTTTTAAAAAACAGACGAAATATATCCAAAAACAATGGATGGAATTTAACTTCTTACGTGACTTATCTTTGCTGTTTGTTATGTTAAAGAATTTGTTGTGTGATATTAAGATATATTTTTCCACAAAGAAATTTTCACACCAGTAAAGAATCTTTTTCTAAATGTACGGCAAATGCAAACAGGTCTTAAAGGAGACTGAGTTCATAAAACTGAAACCATCATCAAAGCCCTAAAATAACTTGGTTATGCGGTGAATCCGGGTTGTAGCGCCGTGTAGTCTGGTAGAAGTTTACCGACGTCTAAGAGTTCCTTGGCTGATTTCTATCATCAGGACCCCTGACACGTCGGTAAACTTCTACCACGGCGCAAAACATCGGAGGCTGTACGTAACAAATAGATCTTTTAGCAGTAATTGACATCGGTAGTTGGAATGGCGACTTACAATCTCCGTGTGTCCCTCGCGACATCCGTTCTGGAACCTTACTTGTCGCTCCTCCTGTGGCCTGTCTCTGTATCCCGTGTACCGCACCTAGAAACACAGAAGCAGGGCCATTTGGGTCCTCCGCCAACAAATATAACACAAGAGCAAACTTCATTTGCGTGTACCAGCTGTAAAATCAAAATTAAGCCCTGTAGCTGAGATGGAAACAAGAAATACGTAAAAAAATGTCGCTGTGACCGCCATGTTGCTTTATGCCTGTTAATTGTTCGATGTCTGGAACATCATTAATCAATCAGGGTAAGACGCGAGGATACAACATGGCGATGTCGTAAGCGTAGAATCGAAAATTGTATTCTTACGAAAAGAAACGCGCTAAAAATAGTAAAAAATCATCCTAATCTGAATAAATTACTTAGAAAGTATAAAGGCTTTCATTCCGACTGATTATTAAATTAGGTTCTCTTTATCAAATCTAAAAGTTCGTGACGATGGTGAGTTATTTTGAATATAAATTTCCTTGGATATTTTCCATCGTATAGTAAAATAATAAAATAGAAAACGACGTTTCGGAGATGGGGCTCTAACTCCCGTCTTCAGGTACGTAGTCTGTTGGACCCAAAATATATACAGCTAATCCGTATCTCCGGACCTATTATTTCATTAGATGTTGGAAAACATCGAAAGAAAATTTTAAACCAAGATTCTCTTTAGTATTCACGCGGAGCTTGGCCGATCTGCCGCTGAGATCTTGAGATCGACGGGTGACCGCCCGAGAAGGCTTCATCGCAGATCTGTAGAGTGAATAATTGAACGAGAATTGTTCCTTTCGAATTTAATACGACGAAAAATTCTTATTAAGTTTATTTAGCGAAAAAAACCTAATTATAATTATCTAGTTAGAATGCCATAAAATGTTCAATTAGTCCTTCGTGCCTGATTTAAGAAGAAAACCTAGGAATGTTGTATGCAAAAATATAATAGGCCTAAACAGTACGCAGAATTAGGCCTACTTCTATGCTGATTACAAAGAGAGCATAAAATTAAGGCGAAGGAGAGGTCGCATCTTTTCTGTCCTTGTGACGTTAGATTTTCAAACCCACCGATCGGATTTTGAAACTAAAAATGGGGGGGGGGGAGGTTACTTTGCGTCCTTATCGGTCCAGTGTTCAGCCTACTTCAGGGAACGCCGAAATAAAAAAATTTTTTTTTTAAATAATGGTTTGTCGTTTAGATCATTGATCCATAACTTTTGCCGTAAATAATATATATAGCCACATAACGAAATACAAAGAAATATGTTAACTGGGCCTTTATATTTTATGTAGCGATATTTTTGTACTGGAAAAGTGGATTAAAAAGGCAAATTCTACCTTATTGATGGCTGTCTTCTGTGTTGCTGTGCCGTGTAGCGGGTAGAAGTATACCGACGTTTCTGAGGTCTTTGCTTTGCGCGATAGCCCAGAATACAACCGTCTTCATTCTCGCTGCTACGAGAACCTAAAATGTCTAAAAATGAAGTTTTATTTGAACTTCATGTAAAAGTATGAAGTTTTATTTGAACTTCATGTAAAAATATGAAGTTTTATTTGAACTTCATGTAAAAGTATGAAGTTTTATTTGAACTTCATGTAAAAGTATGAAGTTTTATTTGAACTTCATGTAAAAGTATGAAGTTTTATTTGAACTTCATGTAAAAGTATGAAGTTTTATTTGAACTTCATGTAAAAGTATGAAGTTTTATTTGAACTTCATGTAAAAGTAAGATTCATACTGGACGTGTGTGGAATATGAGGATGGACATTTAGGTCGGATTCTCGTCGTCACAAAGAGAAATGTTTACAACGCAAATTGGAGTAATTCGTGTCGCTCGCTGCAAACTAACATTTTCTCGTATGTTCGTCAAAGCAGCGGTCTGAAGGTCGGAATTCCAGGCGGAAATTCCTTCTCACTCGTTGCTTACGCGACTTCCTGGAAATCGGTGACTCAGCCACACACGGAGACGGGCTCCATGCGAACAGGATGCAGCGGACCACTTCGGCGATTATCACGCGGTAAACAAATCTGTTATCCGAGTTGGTAGTTAATTAACGCGTTCTATCTCAAGGAAGTGACTCGGCTGGCTAATAAACCCCTTCCGCCTCACAAACTTTCATTTCCGTGGTCACGAAATGCCTCCCGTGTGCCTTATCCCGACGCATTTCGCATCTGGACACCCTGACTTGCAGATATACTCGTGGTCTGTAACCTTGAACTTTTTCTGATTCCCCCATGCGTGCTACGTGGCCAGCAAAACCCATCATTCTTTGATCAATCTTCGCTAAGCGAGAAATATAAACTGTGAAATCCTTGGGTTTATATTTCTGAAAGAAAGAAGTTAATTTTCGTCTAGTTTGCAACCCTGTGAAGCCTCTATTTAAGTAGCTCCATCCGTATTTCACGTAACTCGAGAACAGTTGAATGGATTTCCATGAAATTTTATATTTGCGAGTTTTATTAGCGTTTGTAAACACGTACCAGTTTTGGTTAAAATCGTTCAAAAATGACGTGCACTTTACATGAAGACACAATTCCAAAAGTTCTCCACGCCAAAATACCGTACTCATTTCTTATTTCTCTCATTTGCGCTATACGTCGAGGCCTTCTTATTTACATCGCTGTCGTAAAAGGAATTAAATTGTCCTAAGTAACTTCACAGCGCAAGGAAAATTTACAGACTTAACCTAACCTAAGTTGGTCTGCAAATTTCCTGCTTTTGACAGCGAATGTTCGTCACCATGTTGATAAAAGCCCGCTATTTGACATCAGAGCTTGATGAGTAAGTTTGCACCCTTAAAGAAATTCATTTTTAAATTTCCTTCATGTTTTCGTACCATAATTTTCCCCCTTTTACGTTCTGTGTACCGTCTTAAGTTCGTCCTTGATCTGATCCCACCAAAAGACATAGGAAGATGTGAGTTGTCTACAAATTAAGTTATTCATATTCTGTATAATTCCTTGTATCCACGTGTTCCTTCCCGTTACGTACGTATATTGTGAACACTCCCTCACATATTTCTGTAAAATTTATATTAATTTTATTGACACGACGTCAACCTGTAGCCTGAGCTGCTTTCAGCGTCGTAAAACAACCACAAATCATTTAATTACATCCTCCCCGACATGCGACAACGTTCGGGGTCTCGCAAGTGGAGACATGACGTCACAAAAGACACGTGACTCACCTCGCTTTCTCGGCTCAGTCTCCGAAAGAGTTCGTCCGACTCGAATTTGGATTTCTGGTCGGGGACGACGCGCGGCATCTTGAAGATGAACCGTGGTTTGGGCTGTTCGTACAGGCCGATGGAATCGAACGGCAGCATCCCAGCCAGGGCAGCAGGATCGTTCATCGCATGCATCTCGCTGGCACAGAGCTGAGCGCAACACTGGCTGTCCCGACAGCGCTCCCACTGTCAGCCGCGGTAAAGCCCCGGACCATCGGCCACGCCCACGATACGCTGACATCACAAACATGGCGGCCGCCTGGCGTTTTTTCCCCTCACACGTCATGCGTTTTAAAGTCTGGCTGAGACGGGTCAACATTTTTGAGGCCAGTGGTAATTATTTGTATCACCTGATTTGATGACAAACACAACCTCACTTTTTGCCCATTCGAATAATTCTCGTTGTAAACTGCGATTATTCCCTTCAACAGCGTGGATCAGTTGATATTTGTAATGGTAAAGTGCGGTGTTTTCTTCGCGGTACGGACTGAATTCTTAACTACTAGACAGGACTCGAAGTAAATCAGAGCTTAAACAGCGTTGACCAGTTAATCTTTGCAATGGTGAAGTGTAGTGTTTTCTTCGCGGTACGGACTGAATTCTTAACCACTAGACGAGCTTAGGCTTCAAGGGTTAACCAGTTGATCTTTGCAATGGTGAAGTGAGGTGTTTTCTTCGCGGTACGGGCTGAATTCTTAAATATCATTTAGACGAGCTTAGGCTTCAAGGGTTAACCAGTTGATCTTTGTAATGGTGAAGTGAGGTGTTTTCTTCGCGGTACGGACTGAAGTCTAAAATATTATTTAGACGAGCTCGCCTCAGGTATTCAGCACACACATTTCACATCGCCTTCTTCTAAAATCTAATTTAATGTTAATTACCAACACTCTCAAGTGGTCCTTTCTTTCAGGTTTTGCGACGAAAGTTTGTGTCTAATTGTCAGCGTCTACTTACCTCAGTCTCCTTGATTTTGTCATTCCACGGGCGAAGAGTAGAAGCCGTACATATCGTGAACTTTTTCACAACCCTCCTGTTAGTCTTTTTAATTGAAAATATTTCCTGAGATCCGTTGTTCTCTTAATATATTAAGTTCATTTTTTTTTTAATTTTTAAAAGTTTCGGTTGTGGGTGAATATTAAATCGTGTAATGTTGGCACTCCGGAAAATTACTGAGGGCATTATATAATCGACCTTAAAATAATTAGGTCTGACAATTTTGGTACTCTCTTAGTGTCGTCTGTGTCCTCTTAGCGTGAGAAACGAATTTCAAAATCATAGACAACATAAGTTAATATAGGCTTATTCTGAAACAATCACTGCAGTTGATTTCACTTTAATTAATTAAACCAATTAAGCAACCAGGACTAGGAATATTTTATTCTTCATAATTAGGCCTAAAAACTAGACAGTAATCAGTTGTGAAATTTCAAGTTTTCATGGCGTCGAGTATAAAGATGAGCCCTAATGATGGAGGCATCAGGGACCTCTGAAACGTCGGTAAACTTCTACCAGACCGCCCGATGTAACCATCTTCAAATTGTGCACACATTAGAGCCTATTCTATTGAGCCTGGTAAATTTATTTAATTATGCAGCTGAAAATTTATATTTTCTATTTCATGGTTACATAAACTAAGAAAGCTCTGAACTTTGGGTAGAGATTGAAGAATTCACGTAATTCTTTTACGTGAGGCCAGTTTGTTTGTCCTGTGTGTTAAATCTGCAATGAACAGATTTTATGACTATAACTGATTCTTAAAAATGCATATCCACGTAACCTAGAAATAGGCCTACAGAGTTCACAAAAAATCGATCATCGATTTTATAGTTTCGACATGGAATTAGACTGTATAATAGGCTATTAATTAATAGTTTATGCTATCGTACGGTTTTTTGAAATGTCTGAAGGAAACTTGTTCACTGTAACTTCTATTTAGAGCGAACAAAAGTGAATTCAGTACATTAACGGCTTCATCGACTGTCTGGTTCAGTCACTCGACAATCAGCCCCTTAATCCCTTCATTATTCAAAGGGCATTCAAATATTTGGCGTCACGAATTCAGTCAAAAATTAACGTACGTTCTGCTAGATTTGACACGACTGTCCAATCTGCTTTAATCACGTGACACGTAGCTCGGTGCAGATGTCTGTCATCTTCAGACAAAAGTTCTGAGTTTACAAGCGAGGACCAAGGAATTATGGGAGGGGTTGTGTTGTTATTGCTAATGGTTACTGTGATTTTTTTTTCTACAAAGCCTGGCTACATTCAATAAGCGACGACGCTTCTGTAACTGAAACGTTCCCCTGGTCACACCCCTTCCGCGGATTCTTATTGGTCCGCTGTCGACGCTCTGTCAGCAGTGACCAATGAGGAGCCAGGGGAGGGAAGATGCTTCCGCCATTTGTATATATATCCTTCCGGGCGAATGACGTGACAGTAGGGGTGATGTCCCCTTGATAATGGACCCTCCCCAGAGCCCCCTTTCTCTTGTGATCTAACAATGGGATCTGTTTGTGTGTTCTGGACGGCTTCAAGTAGCGATACTAGTTAATGATACGGACCCTGGAGCTCATCCCATAGCTCGATTCGCAAAGGGGGACAGGAAAATGTTTTGTGTGCGTGTCAGGATTTCTTTTACAAAGATTTGAAAGGTTTTTGGATTGTCAGTTGTCGACTGGGACGTCAAGACCCGGAGAGACCTGGTTTCTATGATCAAAAATTCATCACTGAATTCACAAAAACTCGCTAAATGTTTCCTCAGTCCACATCTGCCCACCCATAAAAGTCCCCCCTGCTTTTATACAACACCGAATAATCTACATTACTGAATCATATTTGTTTAAATCTTGTCAGTCTAATCACAATAAAATCCCTATTAAATATTAAAATATTACTATAATTAACATTTAAATATTTAATATATATTATATATATAATATTTAGTTTATATAATTTATACACCTGAAGATAGTTCATTTGGAACTGAAACATGTCGTGTGAAAAAGTGATGTCCTAATGTAAAATCGAACATTTCGATAGAGAACATCATTTTAATATATTTTAATTATAGTAATATTTTAATATTTATTAGGAATTTTATTGTGATTAGACTGACAAGATTTAAACAAATATATATTTATCACAATATGACGCAACTTTATCATCTTATTACTGAATCAGTTTATTTAAGTTTTAAAATTGTATAATTATGTCTAATATTATTATTTAATATTATTCTGCGAAAGTCAGGTTTTGAGACGATTTATTTTCTTACGTTTTCTGGCTAAAAATCCTACTATATCACTGTTACAGGTCAGCTGGTGAGCTAGACACGTAGTTTTAACGGGAAAGAATTCATTTTCCGTGATGGCTGCCGTAAGTTCTCGTCGTAAGGTTATCTATAGAACCACTGTTCACGAAAAATGACAAATCATCATAACAGTCTTTAGTTTTTATAAGAAATGTCTAACCTTGTTATTAAGATGGTATAAATTTGTTTCTGAATACGTCTAATTGGTATAAATTTGTTTCTGAAGACGTCTAATTTCTTATGACAGGCTCATTGACTTATTGGCTATTAAAAGACACTTCATGTTCTCACCAGGACGAATTTGACGATGAAAATCTTTTAGTCTGAGGGATATTAACTGACGTTTCGGAGGAGTTCACTGCCTCTATCTTCGCTCTGATGACAGAAGACAGGAAATGTGAAGATGTTCTTTATGCCAAGGGTATAATAAATACAAGATATCTTCAGTGAGAACAGTATTACCTCAATACAACAATGGTATGAAAGGTCATAATGCAACAATGTGGTCTATTCTTGGCTCAGTCAAAGGATTAAGAAACAACACCGGGGAAATTTAATCATGGACAGCACAGTAATTTTAATTTGTAAAGATGTGGATTGAATTAGTTCAACATTTACAGCTACACAGTTAAGAGTAGAATCTATGCAACTCGCGGACCCTGGTTTGAGAGAGATTTCACATCAAGTCGCTATCGTGTAGTTAGCAAACCTGCTTCGTAATCGGGAGGATTTTGGTTTATGTCTAGCCTGACTGAAGTTTTTCGTTATTCAACTCGCTCGATTCATATAAATGCTGGAGCAGCGCCTTAAATTAGGCAACGAACACTTCCTTATAGACCCTTGCCGATGGATTATTCGTTAGGCCTATCGTTCGACGTTTTGGATGTGTAGTCTTGAGTTACTGACAGCGTCGTTGAATAAAACGAACATTTTGGAATCGTTAGAGTACACAGTATTGGTCGGAGAAGTTAACAATGAAGATAGTACTCTGTCATACCACGTTAGCGCTAGTTGTTGATGCAGGTTGGTATTACACCATTCCACCGAGAGATTACACTACCGACATGTCAGTGATTTTCAATCACCACGTAATCGCTTCATTTATCCGTGATTTTGGTGATCTGTTGTAATACGTGGTGATTTATAAGTAAAACACGTGCAAAATGATTCATTTTCTCAACATTTGAATATTACTGACACCGAGAAGTGAAATATTTTTAACTAATGGAGGAAGGAACTCCATTATGTTACAAGTAATACGTGCAATGAAAGGGGGAGTTTTGTAAATGTATATATACCCAAGTATTGGTAATATTTATCTTATTTATGTTATTAGTGGTATATACCAGCCTGTTGTATTGAGTAATACTATATATTTCCCCAGTCTGTAGTAATGTTACGTACTAGTTTAATGTGATTAAGGTTATCTGAGAAACTTGGTAGAAGTACGACAGAAAAGATAGCAGACATTTACCAGATACTTTTCTAGTTATCAGTGAGCTGGAACAAGGACATATTTTCAAATCCTATTGAAAGAGTTTAGATAGCTCTAGCATGTGCCCTCATACGCGCACACACAATAGAGTGATTGTTGATTTGACAACAATAATGTCTCATTCTTAGGTTAATGTTACAGATTCTTCAGTCACCTTAGCTGTCAGCCCCCTCATTGTGGAATCATTTCAGCCTCCATTTTCACAAAATGGAAATGTTGCTGTAATCAGGTAACTGAGAAATGACAAATTCCTACATGAGACATGACCAGCTCGAATTAATGTTGCTTAATACAAGAAGCCTTCATTGTCAAGAAGAATGCCTAGCAACATCACAGTTCTTTGAGAAGACGAGAATGTGCCCTAAAAAAGTGGCGTGCAGACTTTTTCTTTCCTCTGCCAATAATACTTGCTGGAGACTTCTTCCTGGATATGAAATCCACCAGATAAGAATCTTCTAACAAATTCTTATTCTAGCATCATTCGTTGAGGTTAAACACTAATCTTGCTACACTACACCAACTAGATATTAAAAAAGAAATAGATGCCATTTTCACTTTAACTCTTCTGCAAGTAAAAGTTTTGAGAATTTGTTAATTACTTTCCTTTTTTCACATAGCCTTATTTTCTTTTCACATATTCCTATAAAGTTTCTGTAGAAGTCGAGAGAATCAACACGACCTGGGATTTAATGAATTTATCATATAATTATTATTTGGACTATTATAACACTGAAATTAAATATATATTCTGTCTTGCTTTGCATATCTTAGTGTAGTGTACAAAGGACGAATAAGATAACTGGTCTGTTAGTGTCAGAATACAATAACTTTAAATGGTATGGCAAAGGATTTAACTACATACTACAACATGAAATAAAACTTTGAATAAGGACCCGAAAGAAAACCCGTATAAAATTTTTATTCATAACAATACATATGAAATGCTGAATATAGCAATGACATAAAACATTATATGGTATCTTTGTGACAGTAAGTCTTATAAAACTTGGAGATTCAGTGGCATATTTGTAAATAGATTATATCAGTCTAAAAGGGTTCTGACAGCAAAGAAATAAAAAAAGCAGCATCCATACATGAATAAGTCAAGAGACGGTACACTAGTATCAAATGCAGTACTGTCTGTTCCAATAATAAAATGATTAATTGTGTAAGATATTGCCATTGCAAGTCCATAATGGTTTACATTGAGGTAACTGAAATACACAGCTGATATCAGATTAAATAACATCACCATATCAAGTAGCTTCTTCTCACGTTTGTCTTTAAAAATGTGTGCTATGATGGGTAATGTAGTACATCCCAAATGAATATAGGCAGTCTCCTCCTGGATACCATAGCGGAGACACATTTGGGTCGCAACGCACGGTAAACCAACACATTTACTTATAAATAAAGTGTGTCCATATACACTTTTCATTTTTCCGCCAAATTCAGGATTACCTGAAATTAACGCAGACTTCCATTACTTTAATTTGTAAAAGTCTCTGTGCCACATCATAAATTATTTCATTTGGGAAACCTGACGTGACTGTTCACAAAATGTATGCATAACTTGAATTGATTGACAGGTGCCATCTACATAGCTCCATATTTGCTCTTTTGATGCCCTTTTAAGATTGATTCATATTTAATGACATTATCAGTTGCAGATTTTATTTAAAGTAGAATAAGAAATTGTAAAATTATCATGAATGGATAAACAGGGAGTGACCATGGTCTATTTAAAGGCATGACATGGCATTTGCCTAGATTGAACAGGAAAGAGAATTACAAATGACACTAATTGATATCGAGTAAACTTGTTGAGTTGTGAACAAGTTAATCTATATATATAGTATATACTATATATATCTGTAGTGTTACTGTTACGTCAACTTGACTCGCAGAAATGAGGGTCTGGATAAGCTGGTTCCTTGGTTGATATTTGAACCAAGTGCTACTGTGCAGACCCAAATTCACTTGTTGATTCAGTATTCATATTAAAAACTGTTGGATACATTTAATTTTGGCACAGTTCATCTTGTGCAATTCTTATTTACCACATATCAGTAAAAGTACTTACTGAGCCTGTAAAGCGTGATTAGGTTTGTAATAATAAATTAATATGTATAGGTAATGAATGTGGTATGCAAAATAGCAGAGCCCTTCATACCAATAACAGATTTCTGGATACCATTATATAACATTATGCTCATTTGCATGACAAATGATTTCAATATAGGTCTCTCAACTTACCAAACCTTAGAATACCTAATGCAGAATTAACAAGGAAAGTTCCAAAACTCCCAAGTGGGAAGTTCAAAGTTTGCTGAGATGTCCTAATAGCCCTAATTGCCCATATGCAAACACCAGCAGAAACTACGTGAGCAAAGGCGGTACTATAACGAGTTGTCGACATGATTATGTTTCTAAAGTGACCTGAAATGTCAATACATATAATTTACAAATGCAGCCCAATAGTTAAGGAATAGTTTATTTACTTGCATATTATTTAGGCAGAAATATATTAATATCATTTAATATTTATAGAGGAAGCAAGATGCCTACTTTCAGCATGTAACTTCATGCCATCAGGCTGTCACCACACCATGTTCTAGGATGGTTTTATAACTGATTTCACACAATGGTTCTTGTCTGCGCAGGGTAGATTAGGGGGAACCCGAACTGATTATCTTCATTACAAAGTCCTGAGGAAGAACTGAGTCATGTCAGAATTTTCCTGTCATTGCAGAGGAAAATTTTAAAATAAGTTACATGAACTAGTTCTATTTGGAATGGATATCTACAAGGGAAACTAGTGTATCAAATCCTTCAGTAAATAATGTATGTTTGTAAGATTTGAGGTTTTCACAGCGGTGAGTATGAAGATTTCTGTCATCAGGCACGGAGGCAGTATGACCTCTGAAACATTGGTTAACATCGACCAGACTACACAGCGCAACAACCCAGAAGACAGAAATCTTCAATGTATGTTTGCATTCTCTAATCCTAGGAAAATTCAATTTTATGAAGACATTACATCAACCAAATGAGGTTTGTGGCAGGTGTCTACTCTATAATCTTTTAAAAATATGCAAAAAAATTAATAGGGGCCAGAGAATTGGTGTTGCGGGTCTAACCCGACTATGTGCCATTGCCTTGGAAGCATAAATTTTTAAAAGTTTACAAAAACTTAACGAAAAATAAAAACAATTTACCACAGTTAAAACTTAAATCCTCAAGGGTTTATCTAATTGTACTACTGGGGTGGGTATGTAAACAGAACGCACATTGAAGTCAGTATAAATGTTTTGCACTGGCGATAAAAGTGCAATCAATAAAATGCCTAATTTTCCACCAAGTTCAGTCGCACGAAGCAATTCAAACAAACCACTATACCAACAAATACTTACGAACGTTATAGTAGTTGACTAGCAAGGTGGAATGGGAAGCTTTCCCGTCTGCGTAAACAAATTTCCCTCTTCATTGTACTGTGTAATATATGGCGAAACTCGCAAAACATCTGTTAAAGAATTGAGCTTGGAAATGAAATATGTAATGGACGTGACAATTTTAAGCTTTTCCCACTTTTCTGTTTTGTTTAATATGCAGTCGTAGGTATTGGTAGGAAAGTAGCAGCCCTGCACTCCATACCTGATATTTTCAATGAGATATATTTGAATTTGTCATGTGTGTTTTAAACGGAATGCTTAAAATCTGTAATCTGTGACTAGACCGTTTGAGAACATAGGTAATACGAATATGGTGGGAGTAGAGTTGTGGTTGTATATACGTACATTTGTGTGAAGGTTCGTGTTATGTGGAAAGTGATGTCAAATTAACTTGTCTTTTATGTGGCTTCATTGCGTTTTATAAACTGAAAGTTTTGCAAAAGAACACATGTTAAGGAAGGTAACACTGTTCTCGTCTGAATATATATATATGTTGATGATTTAGTGCCAACCATTAACTCTCAGCCAAAACCCAAACTTTTTGCGGGTATTAATATTATTTCACATCGCTCATGAAAACAGAAACTTTAAAATTTTTTTGAGTACTAGAATTATATCTTGTCATGGAATTATTTTCTGCAGGAAAAAGTATTTTACATTCAAAAGAAAGTAGAATAATGATAGGCACTAAAAGGAGAGTCTCATGTAGGGAATTATTTAAGAAATATAATGTTTTTCCACTAGCTAGCAAATTTTTGCTGTTACTGTTATCATTTGTGGTGGACAACATAGAAGAATTTCAGACAAAACCCAGATATCCACAATGTAGGTAGAAGATACAGATATAATCTTCATGTGCTAAACTCAGTAAATATCAAAAAGGACTTCACTATTCTGGACTTAAGTTATTCAGTAATCCCCCCACCACCACTATAGGAAGTCTGAAACAATATTTAAATAAGTTTAAGCCAGCACTAAGAGAGTCATTCTGTAGTTGACTAAATTACTGTCATAACTATGTAATTTATATGTGTACTAGAAATAAATATTGTATTTGTGCTGTGAGGTGTTCTAAGTCTTTCACTTGTGGTTGTGAATAACATGATAATGCTTTAATTGAAATTAAGCTGCCTTTACTCTAAGACTAATCAAATGCAGGTCAGAGATGAGTCCCAAACATTGGACTAATGGCATGAAAATATGCCTAATGGTCAGTATTATGGCACATCTTGTGCAGTGGTAATGGGTGAGTATGGGGTTGTGGTGGAATGATGATTAGTATGGCAAAATTGCATTTTTTTTAAACTTTCTTCAGTGCGATTTTATCCGCCGTTAAGTCACGTGATGTTGAATGAAGGTTACTGCAGTGAGAAGCCAGTGTCTAAATGCCTGAGCTATGGCCCACAGTCACGTAGTAATGCTCATACTGTATAGTGTAATTGAATAATACAAGTAATTTCAGTATCACTGGACCCCAATACAAAATTATTTTTGAAACAAATGAATGTGGGTTGAAAGTGGTTATGATATAAAAACAAGGATTTGGAATATTGAACTTGAGGAATGTAATTTTGTTTTTTTCAGTCTTGTTACAGGCACAATGATGACAAGCCTCTTAGCAAGTTACTTTCATGGTTGTTGCGTCATGGAGCTGTAAAAGAATGTTTAAATATTGGTTTTGATGGATATGTGGATGTAACGGATATTGAACAATACAGAGGTTTTCGTAACAAATATACTGTTGCTGATATCCAGCGCGTTGTTGCCGAAAGTGACAAGCAGAGATTCACTCTGAGAACACATCCTATTTCTGGTAAACTTCAGATTAAGGCTAATCAGGGACACTCAATTGATGTAAGTAATGCCCTTTTTAGAGTGACATCTTCTGAAACTGCATTCCTTTAGCTCAAGCTGTGGTTTACAGATATGCTGGTCTGGTAGAAATTTTCTGACATTTCAGAGGTGCTTGCTGTTTCACCATGCCTCCCATCAACCTGATGATGGAGGCAACCAGTCCCTCTGAAATGCCAGTGAATTTCTACCAGACACAGTGCTACAGCCCAGAAGACAGCCATCTTATTAAGCTCTTAATAAATTTTAAAAATTTCGCTTGATTATGAATAGTTGAAGCATAGTTTAACATCCATAGAAAATAGTGGTAAAATGATCATGAGTTTTACTGTTAATTATGTTTCATTATTTGCAGTTTATACAAGATTCTGATTTAATTCCGATTTGCCACGCGTCTGAAATTCCAACTGTTATTCATGGAACTTACTTTAGAAATTGGACTAAAATTAAAACTGAAGGCCTAAGCCGTATGAACAGGCTTCATATTCATTTCAGTCCTGGAGAACCGGGTAATTCACAAGTTATTAGTGGCCTGAGATCTTCATGCCAGCTGTACATCTACATTGATGCTGAGAAGGCTTTATCAGGTAAGAATTTAACTTTGAGGATCTGCGTTGTCATGTTGCGTTATTACGTCCTGGTACATGTTAGGTGTCTAAAAGTTTTTGGACTGCTTTCCTTTCTTAATGAAGAATGTAGACTTATGAGATCACCATGCTGTCTGTCTATCTCCTTTCAGTGTTTAAGCAGTTGACCAATTTTCATGAAATTTGGTTTGAACATTATGCCATTATAGGACAACCTAAGCTTTTCATATTTTTAATTTCCTAAATTGGTGATAACATGTTAGATGCACAAACTAGTGGATTGTTGGATTATAGGCTATTAAGAACAGAAGATTTGTAGGAGTTTCATTGGAATGTAGGCTTTCAGTGTGTGTGGGCACAGAAATGTTTGCTTCTGGTTGCCAGGTCATTCCTACGACATGAATATTTCATTTAATCCTGACAGGTGTGCGAATCTGGTTACCATATACTGTTAAAATGATGGCCAATTTTGTGCTGTACTGCAAAATACAATTTTACACACTAAGTGTAAACGTAATCCTTTCAGGTTACAATGTGGGAATGGATCTGGGCTTAGGAAGTACTGTCACAAATTACTAAAGTGTGAATATGTAGCGTCATAAATTTCTTTGTTTCAGATGAAATTCAATTTTATAGGTCTGTAAATAATGTTATATTAAGTCCAGGAAATAGCGAAGGTTATATTGAGCCAAAGTATTTCTCAAAAGTTGTAGATGTATTTACAAGTAAGTAACGAATGTATCTGTGTGTACAAATTCTGGTCATTTTATCATACTGCTGTGAAACAAGCCACACACAGATCTGTGGATTTTTAATGATGACAGTAATGAAATTTTGGTAAAGCTTTTAGTTTTGTGCTGGTAATTTGAAAAATGATACACCTAGGTTTGTGACATTGGTCTACTATCATTATGCATGCATTTTCTCTGTTCATTTCCTGAATAAAATGTATGCTATTTCTCGGAGGAACATTTTCGTTTTATGTCTGTTTGCAGGACGAGTCATATTGGCACAGTGACTAAAGCAACATAGTGAATTTCATTAAGATTTATTGGTAAGCCTGCGCATCTAGCTTCTGATACGTCTCTCATTTTAATATGCTGTGTCAAATATGGTTTAATAATTACAGTACTGATTAATTTAATTTGCATTTTGAGGGTAGAAGACACTGCTACCAATACTCCCCATGCACATATGCTGCATATGTTCCTTAGAATAAAATACTACTTTCTTCAGCGTTATGTCCTTGAATGCCTTCTTCAGAGCTCAAAGATATGATAATTTAACTTGCTTTGGGGCTGAACACCCCCATAGTGATACTGCTCTAGTTTTAAAGTTTACTCTGTGCCTTGCACTCGGTGATCATGAATTCCTTTATATCTCTGTTATTGCCACAGTGCAAGAATTTAAAGTAACAACAATGCAGAACTCTACAAGGTGTGAAATTTGTAAAGTTGATACACCAGACAAGGAGTCTTTGGCCCGTCATATTCTGGGAAAGAAACATCTGAGAAAACTTCAGCATCTACAACAAAAGAAAGATGCAGAAGAAACAGGAATATATGTCACAGGTTTGTTTAGTTTTGTGTTTTATTTATTTTAAGAACGTGTGTCATCGTGTTTGGGTTGCAGGCATTTTGTTTGGATACGGCATGAAGCGAGGAGCACGGTGATTGGCTAGATGTGTTCATTTGTAAATTTTCATAAAGGTTAAACAGTGGATTTTTCTATGACATTTTGTAGGCTTTGTAGTCAGACAGCATTCCCAGTATTCTCTGTTCCTGAAAAATGCCTCATAAATGAATATTAAAATGTTTTGGTTACCTTTAGTAATGGTTCTGTCTAAATTAAGCAAACATTAAGCCAAGCCCAAAGAGATGTGCAAAATCACAAAGAAAAAACATTTAAAGTTCATTGTAGTTTCTCCCGCTTCAGAATGTTGTGTTTTATTTTAGTACAATTGTAAAATATTTAAATGTTTTAATACAGCGTAGTTTACTTCTGCTACTGGCTATTATGAATTTAAAATGTATTGTTTATTGCAGGTTTTCCAAAGCAGACGGATCAGGTTGAATTACAAACCTTTTTTGGTCAGTTTGGACCAATTAAGAAGTTTGTCTTTGGCTATAATGGGAGGTTTGCTATTATTCAGTTCTGTGAGAGGTTTGTGATGACATTCTGTACTTACTGTGCTGTGAATCATATGTGTAACGTATGTTTGATTACTGCATTTAACATTGTTCTCTTTTCTAGAGAATCTGTTGAAATGTGCGTCTCCAGAATATTACATTTCTCTAGGCATCGTCTACGTGTAAAACGTCAGAAAGTACAAGATCCACCAGTAAAGAGTAAGTTGTAATGAAGTGACACAGTGGAACCCCGTATTTACACTTTACTGGGGGATTGTGAGAAATGGTGCAAATTGCGGAAGTTTAAAAAAACATAAACTTAGTAATTTCCTCCATTTTTAACCCT